CACAGCTGGACTCCTGATTTACACCAGGTGACCGAGAAAGGACTCAGGCCCACCATGAACAAAGACGTTCCCCTAATTAGTGTTGCATTGTAGGCACAGTGGGCGCCTTGTGCCTCCAGGACTTGTGCCTGGTAGGCCTCAGAGGCCTACATTTTTTCAGTCCCATGCCTTGTACAAAGGGGGTAGGGTTGCCATGGGCACCCCATGTAAAGCAGGGGCATAGCACGACCAGGCTGAGTCGGTAGCACTTTGTTCCCACTCCGCTCCACCCCAGCGAATAGTGTACAAAGGCTCCGAGCAGAGACAAGTCACGCCCAGCTAACATCCTGGAGCCCAGAGGTGCCTCCCTGGGACTGGGCTGGGGTCAGACAAGCAACTCATCGAACAGGACAGTGAAATACGGCGGAGAAATGTGCGGGTTACTCACAGCACTCGGAGGCTGGGCAGCTGCTGGCACATCCCTCTGGGAAGTAAACGGATCCCGGCCCGGGTTAAGGTCCTGGGGGCAGGAAGGAGACAGAAAGGGCTATTGAGAAGCTGGCAGGCAGGGAGCCCAGTCCTGGCTAGGGGAGGACAGAGCAAATGAAAAAGCAGAGCACGTGGTGAGGAATTAAAGGTGGCTGGGGAACAAGGCGGGAAGGCCTTGCGCTGGGCTCAGGGTGTGGAGGTAGGAATTTAACATGCCCGGGGCGTGCGGGTTGCTTGGTTTTACACAAACCTGCCCATGGGCTTTGAATGAGCCGGTTTTGCAGTGACCACACTCTGGACATGCAGCGCCAGGTCTGGACACCCGCCTTCTGGGGATCGGGGCTGGTGGAAGGGGACGGGTTGAGATTCTACAGAAACAGTTTGTGAATCTTGCCGATCTCCCGTGAGTGTCAGGAGACGGGTCCTGGCACTGACAAGGGAGCCGGCCTTCCAGAACGCTGAGGCCAGCTGAGGGCAGAGCAAGGCTGGGAAGGCTCATCCAGGGCTCCCAGTGCTGGGTGGGTTCTGGGCTGAGCAGGGATAACACTAAGCCAAACGGGTTCCAAGAGGCATTCAGGCACCTCCATGGCAAGGGTGGGTGTGTTCCAAAGGCTGCACATTTCACAGCATCTGGATTTCTTGGCCTGGCCCTCCTTGCCCTCCGCCCCCTGGCAGAGCAGCCCCCGGGGAGTGAGGCGGTGGCACAGGGAAGGAATGGCGGGGGCTGGAGCTCACTTCTGCAGCCCGCGGGGAGGTTGCAGAGGGCCAGACCGGGCAGCAGCTGCAGGAAGGAGCCTAGAGGACGGGCAGTGGGGTCTGCTGTGGTGTCTAAGGCCCATCTCCTCGGAGGCAGCCCAGCGGGAAGGATACCCTGAGGCACAGGAAAGAGGGAGTTTGCCACTCACAGAATTTCTAGGCTGGTGGTTCCTTTCAGGTCTGGGAATTCCCTGATGTCTCTCGCTCCATTCAATGACCTGCAGAGAAGGACGGACACGCTCAGGGCGGACTGGAAGGAGCCAGGGCAGGTGCTGGTGCTTCCAAATCCCCCCTTCTCCCAAGTGCTTTGGCAGCCCAGATAGGCAGCACATCCTTTCCTGAAGCCACCTCTCCCGGGAGTATGCCGCCACCGGCAGGGCATGGAGCTGACGGTCTACGGAACCAGAGACCCAGGCGTTTACTCCCCAGGAAACCGCCCACTCCAAACCCTGACATTCTTGGCAAATTGTTGTAAGTTAAAGAACTCACGGGCAGGGATCTCCTCCACGCTCCCTGGTGCCTCCGCCCCATGGCACTAAAGAACGCTGCATGGTTCTCGTTAGGCTTTCTTTTATTAGCTGGAGCATGTAACAATGCACCCGGCGGCTTTATGAGACTTGTAAAGGGAGCTCGTTTGAGGTTCCCTCTGCCACGGGTCCATCTGCCGCACACCAGCGACTGCAACACACTCCCCGGGCGGCCTGGCTGGTCCAGAGGATGCCTCACAAACTGGCGAGGGGAGCCAGAGGAGATGCAGGCTAATGCATGTCGGGGAAAGGGCCAGCTCGCGCCAGCGGCATCGCCACGCCCCCACGGTGTGGCAAGGGCTGGGCAGTGCCACACAGCAGCGTGCGACGCGGCACATGGAGAATGCAGCACGTTAATGAGCATCTGCGGCTCGCACGGGGCCCTGGCACGTGGATGTCTGGTGAGCGGGACGGTGCCCCAGGGAGGGGCAGGCTCCAGTGGGGCTCGCAGTGAGGCAGGAGGCCCCGCTCAGAATGGTTGCGCTGCATGAGCATGGACACCTGGGTCGTTCCCATGGGCCATGCAGCGCTCTGCCAAGGTCCCAGACCCGAGGGCTGGATAGGCCAAGGGAGAAGGGATGGAAGAGTCCCGGAGGCTTGGATTGCCCCTGGCGTTACCTCTCTCAAGGCCTGAGCGATAAACTTACAGAGTGTGCAGCTTTGGCAAGAACTGGAAAGCGGACTGGCCCACAAACTGGATGGGATTGTCATAAAAATGGCTGGAAAGGAGACAAAGGCCCCGCTTAGGTTACCTTGTGCGGACTGGAGGAGACGCCAGCGTGAGCCCAAAGCAGCGGGCGCGATGGGGAATGAGCTGTGCAAGAGCTTCCGGCAGCTAGTGAGGAGCCCGCCTGCTCCTGCTAATTCCTGCCTACGCTCCTGGCTCCGATCCAGGCTGGGCCCAGCTATCCTGCTTTGCCCACTGGGCTGCAGGTGCTGCCGATCGCGACTGCTCTGGAGCCAGGACGAGGGTGCGGGGGGCACTCACGGAGCTGCGCCTGGCGCATGGTGCCGCGTGTCACTCTGTGACGTGTTTCCCATCCCCCTGAGCAGAGCAGTCCCCGTGTCACCCCCTGTCACTCCCCAGCACCCACCTGTCAGGGCTCCCACGATTCATCCCTCAAAACGTGGCGGGGGGAACCCTGCAGGGGGGATGGGAGTGGTGCCAACTCCCCATGGGCCTGTCTCCCGAAGGGGCTTGACTCCGCTCTCCCTCACCGCTGGCCTGGCTCTCACAGCCCGGTTCCAGGCAAGGGCCTGCCAGCTTATGCTGTGCAGGGGTGGAGCAACCCCTCCTCCGTGGAGAGCAATGCCACTGCTGGGCAAATGACCTGTTCCCCTCGCCCCTCCTGGTACTGGCTTCCTGTGAGACTAGATGGGGGGGACACACGGGAAAAGGGGGGGTTAAAGGGCAGAGAGGAACAACCAAGAGCCAAACCTTCATCTTACATTAGGGCTGTTCTTCCCGCCCATTCCCTCCCCGCCTCCACCGGCATGTCAGAGTACCACTGCGGGAAATTGATGGACAGAACCTCCAGCCAATGGAAGGAGGCTCCCAGTTCCCCTGTCCTGCGCGGAGGGATGCAGCCCCCGTTGCTTACATGGTTTGGAGTAATGGATTCCCCACAAACGCCTTCTCCGGAATAGCCTGGATGTGGTTGTGATGGAAACCCCTGTGGGAAGAGAAAGGCCCGGCTGTGACTGGGTCAGCAGATGGTAAGAACACACCTGAAGAGGGAGAGAGGGGTCTGAAGCTAACGCCACAGACACGCTGCCTCTAGGGGCCCGATCCCAGGAGTGGAGCTCCGTGAGCGCCGGGGCTCTAAGCCAGTCCACGTGAGTGCGAGACGTGTGGTGCGGGTGAGACTCAGGGGTCAGTTACAGCAGCTCAGGGTCTGATCCGTTAGCATCTCCCAGTGACGGGAGGTCCTGTGAGGGATGATCTAATGGCCCCTTCTGGCCCTAAACGCTATGGCTCTAGTGGGCTTTGGCTCAGGTGCTTGGCCAGCCTGGGGAGCCGCGAGGTTGGGGGGTGCATCCTGGCCTCCCGGTTCCACGTGGGCTCTCCCCGGTGTCCTCCCCCCCACATTCCGCCACAGCTGTTAACAGCCATCACCCTTGGCCTGCGGGCGTCACGCCTGTAGAAATGTTCTTTCCGTGCTAATGAGGCCCTGGGAGGCATTTACTGCCCTGCCGGGGAGGAAGAGCTATTTTAATGGGGGTCCCAAAGGCGTGCGGGAAGAGATCAGAGGAAGCCCAGGAAGACTTGGCGTGGCCCCCGCTCCCCTGCTTGGCTCTTGATTAGTTACTGTCTCGTGGCGAATTCCGTTTAAAGGGAATAAATAAGAAGGCTCACAGCTCCTGCAGCCGGCCTAGCGTCCTGACGGCCACTGGGAATTCCAACAGCTTGTTATAGTTCAGGTCCCTGAAAGGCAGAGCGGAAAAGCAGTCATTAAGGACGTGCGAGGAGCTCAGCGGAGCATAGCCATGCTCTGAAGGGATGGAAACTTGGTTATTAAGCATCGGAGATGGGTTTTTCCAGATAAGAAGGCTCACAGCTCCTGCAGCCGGCCTAGCGTCCTGACGGCCACTGGGAATTCCAACAGCTTGTTATAGTTCAGGTCCCTGAAAGGCAGAGCGGAAAAGCAGTCATTAAGGACGTGCGAGGAGCTCAGCGGAGCATAGCCATGCTCTGAAGGGATGGAAACTTGGTTATTAAGCATCGGAGATGGGTTTTTCCAGC